ATTTTTCTGCAGCAGTCACAGCTTTAACACACTTCTGTATAAATGTTTCAATATCTGTATTGATATTTGGCCAGTACAATATTGTTGTGGCTCTTTGCTGTGTTTTTGTTGTGCCAACATCTTTGGTCTTAAATATTTTGGTATCATCATACGTTCACCATAAAAAATCAGAATATCAAGGAAGTAAATTTCATTTCTAATATTATTATATTTTTTAAGCAAATCAGGAACTTTTGTTATATCTGTAGGCCAACCTGTCAAGCACATGTCTTTTAATCTTCTTAATTCGACATCTTTTTCAGTTTCATTTTGAATGTCTGCAAACCTTTCTTCAGTCACATTCATAGAGTGGACTATTTCTGTTAAAAACTTCTCATCCTTGGGTACATCTTTGATAAAATTCCTCGAGAGCAAATCTGCAATCAGCATTTCCTTACCTGGTTTGTATTGAACATCTATATCATATTTGAGTAGCTTGACTTCCATTCATTGTAATCTAGGGGAATTTACCTCAGCAACGCCTTTCTTCATTATGGATGATAGAGGTTTATGTCCTGTATAAACAAAAACATGTCTACCATAGTAAAAGCAACAGGTTTGTTATTTTGTAAGAAAATACAACCAACACCATTTTTACTAGAATCTGTTTGTATGATTATAGGTTCGTTTTCGTCAAAATTAGCTAACACTTGAGGAGAACTGATTATTTTTTTAATTAAATTAAAGGATTCTGAATGAGTCTTTGTCCAAAGAAATATAGATTTTTTTAAAAGTAAACCGCACAATGGAGTCGAGATATCTAACAAATTTGGTATGTAATTTCTAAGATAATTAATCATACCCAACATACATTGTAATTCTTTTTTATTTTTGGGGTCATCAAGCGACAAAATTGCTTTAATTTTTTCCTCATCCGGTCGCATACCATATTTGTCAAATATCTTACCTAAATATACAACTTCTCGTACTCTGTATTGAATTTTAATTTTATTAAATTTAATACCAAAATTTCTAGCTCTTTCTAGAACTTCACTCAAAATTTTGTCATGTAGTTCCAAACTATCAGCTGCTATAAGTAAGTCGTCAAAGGAATGTCGCCAAAATTATCAATATCTATTTGTTGAAAAAATTCTGGGGCACAATTAAGCCCAAACGGCAAGCGTAAAAATCTATAAGCTCCAAAAGGAGTTCCAAAAGAGCAAAGCTTACTTGAATACTCATCAAGCTCAACTTGGTAAAACCCCACCTTGAAATCCAAAACTGTAAAATACGATTTATTTTTTAATTTAGCACTATATCAGCTAATGTTGGTATTAAACAAAACTCTTTTTGTAAAGCATTAAGCAATTAAGATCCTTAGGGTCTAGACAAAGCCCAAGAGATTTATCTTTTTTTTTCTACTATGACTAAGTTACTGAGCCATTCAGTGGGACCTTCGCACCTCGCAATTATTCCACGATGAACCAAATCATTCAAAGTTCTTTTAACCGATCTTTAAGTGACAAAATAACCCTCCTAGGTAGCCTAGCAATTGGTTCAGAACAATTTTTTAATTTCAGTTTACATATTTTTTGAAATTTGCCTAGACCATCGAATACATCCATGCAAAAATATTTAAATCCATACAAGATTTTAATCCAAGAATAGGCATGGATTTTTCGTTGACAATTACAAATGTAAGTTTAAAATTATTATCATTACATTTACAATTCAAAATCAACTACACTTAAAGGTGAAATTTTAAACCCACCATATGTTTTCAAAACTATTTTTGATTTAAGGAGAGAAAACTGTTTATTTTAATTTTTTGTAAAACATTCAAAGGAATAATGTTTACCTGTGATCCTGTCTTATCTTATCTTAAATTATCTTATCTTATCTTATCTTAAAAACAACATTCTGGCTATCTATTATCACCTTTTCCGTCCATTCATTTCTATCCGTGATTTCATTTACCATTATCGTCGTCACCAAGTACCCTTCATTAGGGATGTGCGATGTTCATCGATTATTGAAAAACATCGATGTTTGATACCCGATGTTTCGACATCGATGTTGAAATTTTAAAACATCGATGTTGGTTGTAAAAATCGACAAAGAAAAGGGTTTAAAGATGAATTTTACTTGCACTAGTTTTGCAAGTGGAAATCGCTATGCAGGTCTCATAGCGAATTACTAAAATTGTATACAAAGTCTTGGCAGTTGAGGCAGCCTCACCTCAGTCTCAGTCCCATTGAAACGGTCACACAACAAAGAAACAGGATAAAGGATAAGTTATTGTCGAAATCACGATTTCTTCGAGGTATCGACAAGAGTTACTAGGGTGACCATACGTACAGCATTTCGCTGTATTGTACAGCATTTTCAAAGTCTGTCCAGCATTTGATTTTGTACAGCAAACGTACAGTGATTCGGATCCGATCATAATTACGTTTTTCTTTAAAAAAAATTACGAAAAATTGTCAGTCAATAGCTATTTTCGAGTTCGAAAAAAGGACGGTTCTAGAACGGTTTAGAACAATCGCACAGTTATCACAAATTTGAATAATAAACTGTGCGATTGTTTTGAACCGTTCTAGAACTGTCCTTTTTTTGAACCCGAAAATAGCTAATAACTAACGACATTTCTACATTTGCGATTTACGTCATTTACGCCATCATCTCCCAGAGTACTCTTTTTAATGCTAACTACGTTTTTTATCTCTCTCTATTCCACGCTGCTAAGAAGAAGACACAGCATAATAGGCCTGTTCCTGCAGCAATCACAAATAGTCAGAAAGTTAAAAACAGTCAGAAAACTAGTTTCAACCCAAGGTTCCTAAAGTTAATAGGTTGTTTGGTAATGGTAAACAGATGACGTCATCAGGAAGATCTAATGGAGATTTGCATTATGTTTAGGCGTCCAGATAACGCCATAAAAGTTATCGGCCTTTCAAACAACCTTGGTTTCAACCATTAAAGTTTTCAACCAATGAAATTCACTCTGACTGGTTTGCGTTTTCTGTGCGAACAGACCTATGTTATCTCTTTCATTTTTTGTTTTTTTTGTTAAGTGGTACTAAAACGGGCTATAAAGTCGACAAAATTCGCATTAAGTGCTTTCTCCACTCACCTGTCTCAAAAATTTTAGATGTGTACAGCATTCATACAAAAAAATATGGTCACTCTAAGTTACTGGGACATTTGAACCTTAAATTCACCTGAATATTCTATTCTACAATCTACATACTATTTTGTTTAGACTGTAGGAAACGTGATTGTTTTTAATAACTTAACAAGAATAAACTTTTTTTTCATTTTATTATTAAACGTTCTGTTAATGAAATTTTCCATGTTTTCTCTATGTTACCCTCAAAACATCGATGTTTGTAAAATATCGATGTTTTCACTTCGATACATCGGTTGCATCGATGTTGAAGTATCGATGTTACCATCGATGTCCAACATCGACATCTGTGCTCGATGTCGCATCCCTACCCTTCATCCTTTTTGTCTTTCTCATCTTCTGACACGTCTTCTTTTTCAACTTCTCTCACATACTGTCCATATCGACTACGACACATCTTTTCAAAATGTTCAAATGTTTCACATCTGTGCTCGATGTCGCATCCCTACCCTTCATCCTTTTTGTCTTTCTCATCTTCTGACACGTCTTCTTTTTCAACTTCTCTCACATACTGTCCATATCGACTACGACACATCTTTTCAAAATGTTCAAATGTTTCACACCTATTATATTTCTTGGCAAAAGCAGGACACTTCCTGGGACCATGTTTAAAACCACAGCTTCCACAATCGAACGAGTTCTGCTTTTGATCACTTCGGCCTCCAGCGGCTCCAGCACTAGGTCTACCTCTACCATCTCCTTGTTTCACAATTCTTTGACTTCTAATCGCCTCTTCCTTTTCCTCTTGATTTTGAACATCTTTCAGTTGAGCTTTTGCCAGCTCATTATCTCGACACTTGTTAATGGCCTTTTCCAAACTTAAATTTTCGGTATGCAATAATCTTTCTTGTAATTCTGAGCTGCGTATACCAAATACAATTCTATCTCTAATCATGGAGTCACAAGAGGCATCAAAATCACAGATCTTAGGAAGTTTCTCTAGCTCTGTTAAAAAATAATCAAACGGTTCAGCCTTTTTCTGCTTCCGATTATAGAATAAGAACCTTTCATACACAACATTCTTTTTAGGGGTCATGTATTTCTTAAACTCCGACAATACTTTTTCAAAGTCATCTTTATAAGCTTCAGTCAATTTTAAAGTATTGTACACCTCCAGGCCGTCTTCTCCCATAAGATTAAGCAACACAGCTATTTTCACCTTATCTTCTTTTGCCACTAGCAAGCAAATATATTTCAAAGGACTGTTTAAACCTGCGAAAATTCTCTGCCACATTACCTTCAAACGATAAGGGCTGTGGAAGTCGTACATCAGACATTTTAGTTTGTGTTAAGATACTTAGGTGTTAACAAAAGAATTATTTACCCACAAAAGGATATAGTGCATGCCCTCCAATCCACGAAGACTGCGCCATGTAATAATATCAAAACAATCGGTTGTTGAGTTCTTGATTGATGACATTTCAATTATCAATTAACTTGTGGCTTTTTTCATTGTGTCTATTGTTAGGTTCCTACTAGGTAGGTAGTGTTCGTTGGCTACATGACAATACTTATTACATTATATTTATCTAAAATTATTCTGGTGTTGCCTTTCCCTTCCCGTTCTGCTTTTCAGGGTGAATAGTTGAGCTACATAGCGGAGCGAGATATAGGCTTCGTGACAATTATGATTGGAATACCTTGTGAAATACATTATTATGTATTCCTTAATTCATTCAAAATAAAATCCTATGGACTTTAAATCACAATTTAAAGGTATTTCTGGTTGATAACTAAATAATTCAAATATTCATTCATTAACAACCAGCGATTATTTTATTATCAATTTTATTGAATGCATTCCAAAGAAATCACGAAGCGGTTTTGTTATCAGCAAGCACGCCTTTGAAATTTTAATAACAAATAGTCTACCTACAGCGATTATTTTTCAAGCAATTAATTTGCTTTTATTGTCAGTAGATTTATTGCGAGGTTTGAGTGCATACGGATTTTTAATAGGAATTGTTTCTGAATAAAAGGTGAGGAGAAACTTTTATTGCTTTAAATAATTATAACATTGACCATTAACATTTATCACCCTGAAAGAATCTAAAATCCTGAAAAAATCCCGTTTTTATATTATCTCTATAATGCTAATAATATTAATTTGTTCCTGACATTTTGTTTGACTAGCTCTTGAGCATATGGTCATGAGCCTAATTATTGATGATATTGAACTTTGTTTGTTTGTTGAGTGGTACTTTGTATGGAAATTTCCTAATATTCCAATTTTCACTTCAATCATGATGTCATTTTTCTTCCAGGTCCTGTTGAAGAATAAATTTCTTTCAGTTATTAAAGGTAGATGTCATCCCTGGCTTTGAGTTTCACTCTTAATTAGGTTATTTAGGAGTTCTCTTTACCAACAGATATCTTGATCGTCTTTGAAAAAATTCAGTACCTACCTATAAATATTCTTGGAAAATTGAATTCAAATTAATTAAATTCTCTTGGGTGTTTCTGTAAGCCATTTTCCCAGAGTTCTGTTATAGCTGTATTCCATCAAATTACCTATATGGATAAAACAAAAATGTTGCAGTTCCTCTCCTATATATTAATATATTCTAATATACCTGCATATTATTTTTTGATAAAAATTATTTTATCTCATATCAGTGTTTGGTAGACTACTGAAGCTCTAGGTAGGTGAACATTTAATAAATTTTTTCAAATTTTCATGAAATTGTCTATATTGTTGAAAGGAATATTTGTTTTCATATGTTTCATCGGTAATACATCAACAAAGCTGATAAGGGAAGTTTTCTTCTATATTGATCAAGCTAAAAACAATTAGGTATTTGCATATTTTTCACTTTTTCTTCCCCTTCGATAAACAACTTTTCAACCTACCTATATAGAAACAATAAACTATTTATATTATACTTAATTTGATACAATCAATCAATTTTAATAGATCTAGCGAGCCATAGTCAACTACCTACGTAGTTGCCGCACTGATCATGTACTTAAAGTATATTTTGTTTTCAGAATTTGATATCCAGCAACAATGTTTTTTCTGAAATATTCCATGATTTTAGGTACGTATATATTATCATTATCTATTTACTTTCATTATTATTATTCCAATTTGTAGTTGCTCTGTGGCTGAACTCTGCCAAAGGAACAAGCATGGAAGCTTTTTTCCCTAATGCCAATCAAAATCTCACAAAAATAACTTGGGCGCATGCAGTCAATAATCAGTCATTATTGGAAGAAACTTTAAAAAATGGTAACTAAAACTAACAACCCCAAACATAAAACTATTCCAATAATCCATTTCAGATGCAATTAATATGATCGAAGCTGACATCCAAGTGGGTATCATTAACGACACTAAAACTCCTATAATGGCTCACGACCCAAACGTTACTTCCAATTTAACTTTGCACAGCTTCTTGCAGCAAATTAAAGACTCAAATGCAAATGCCGTAAGCAATTCAACAAGAAAAGGAGCAAAATTAGATTTCAAAACAATAGAGGCTTTTGAAATATCAATCGAAATCGTAAAGCAATTCGACAAAGGTGGCTATCCGATTTGGATCAATGCAGACATTATAAAAGGTCCAATAAATGCCACCGCAATTCCAGTAGATCCAACCAGGTTTTTGGCAGGAGCTAATCAATTTTCAGATTCCATTTTGTCCATTGGCTGGACTACTTTGTACGGGGCAAATTGGACAGGATCTTATACCTCAGAACAAATCCAATTAATGATTAATACTATACACACAAGCAACATAACTCAAGAGATAACTTTTCCTGTTAGAGGAGGACTGGCGGCTCAAAGTAAAGATTTACTCATGAATTTGACTGGTCAAATTTCAGGTTCCACCTTGACTATTTGGTCTAGCGAAGGCGACAATGTGAATGTTGACGATTTGAGGCAATTGATAAAGGCTATTGGTTTGAATAGGACTTATGTCGACGTACCTGAGGATTTATTGGCGAAGTTGCATTTGGAGGATTTGTCTAGTGGTTGTGGCACTAGCCAAATGACACTACCGATTTTTGTGGTGTGTTTGGTTCTGTGCTTGGGGAATTTCTTCTGAGAATCTGTTTTAAAGTAGTTTAATGTTTTAGTGGTTCCTAAAAATGTTGTATTTTATTTTATTATTTTTGTTTTGCAATAGGCTTAGGTGCAATATTTAGTTTATGTATTGTGAAAATTTTACCACTTTGTATATGTTCATTTCCTTTATTTTAAATAAACATTTAGGTTAATAATAAAATATTATTATTTATTTTCACTTAGGTAAATTGCACAAATATAAAAAACAAAGTAGGAGAGAAAGAATAGACTCACCTGAAGGCTAAAAAAAGTGATACCTACGAGAGAGAATAATATTCCTCATTCAGCCTTAAATCACAATTTTCTGAAGAACTGACCTTCGAAATATTACCAAGTATTATTTAATTGTTGATGAAACATCAATGTAAGCGGAATATAGATAAACCTTATCTTCATGTTGGTATATAGATATTCAGATAATGCATTCAGATAATTGAAAAAATATACCTAACAGTTGAGTTAATCCAACAAATGTTCAAGTAGGTTTTAAAGATAGAGAGATAGGTAATATTTTTCACTGGAAAATAATATGATATATGATAGCGCGATCATATTTAAGTGATATAAATAAATCACGCGCATAAGTGTACACAAAACAATACGAAATCATCATGCCTCCTCACGGTGGACCTGGACAATATGGTGGGCCACCACCACCTGGGAGTGATCATTTTGGACCACCACCTGGGAATAACTACGGACCACCACCTGGGCCTTACTATGGACCACCGCCACCTGGGCCTAACTATGGACCACCACCACCTGGAAGTAATCACTATGGACCACCACCTCCGCCACCAGATGATGACGGAAATTGTTGCTGTCTTTGCGGCTTATTACTTGCATGTCTAGGTTGTTGTAGTTTGTGTAGGAATTAGGAATTTGTATTTTGATTGTGTGAGATTAAAATTTGGTATTTATTAGTATTCTTGTTTTTTTTTTTTGGAGTGTGCATGGAAATATCATCTTTGTATGTAGTGCATGGATGTTGGTTGTGGATAATTTTAAATAAAAAAATAATTGAGATAGAAGCTGTAAAATAGAAATTAAGTAGGTACATTTGTTCAAAATAAATTAAAATCCTAAAATTATTATATGGTAAGTCTAGCGTTTCCGACTAATTTTGAAGATTACTTTAACTTATAGGGATTTTTTTGAAAAAAATGTTCGAATATGTCCACAACTATATTTCCACCAAATTAAAAAGCTTTATTCGTATAGCTTATGAGCATTTTTAAACCATATCTATTTGCCTGCCTTTAACTATGTCAGTACTTATGCGTACCTACCTAGATAATTAGTCGACATAATTTTTATCTAATCTTCTCTCCATAATATGCCATTTTATGTGAAACCTGTACCTACTGTGTTTTTTTCTACGTGATATAGATGGCGAAACATGAACAATTTTGATATAGGGCGTGTTTGGGTTGACGCTCGGCGGAGCGAGCAGTGCGATTACGGAGTAACGTGACGTCACAGGGAGTACACCGTGTCAAGCCAAATAAACTTGTGCAAAAATGCTGGGTTGAGCGATCAGCTGAATTATTGTTTATTTTTCTTGGCATATATTTTTTGGAGTCCGAGCCCGCATTCCGCAGAGTTTTCTCGTTTGTTTTGCATTTTAGTTGATAATTTTCAAACAGCCCCAATTTCTTTTGTATTTTGCAAAAAGTATCGTGCTACATAAACAATAAAACGGCCTAAACACTCTGAGTCTGAGGCTGCCAAGTTCCCTTGGAAAAATATGTTCCAGTGATGAGAACTATCGAGAAAATTTAATTAAAAGTAAACAATTATGCAGAATTCACTAGCTATTTGATTGTTAACATTTAAACAAAATAGCTAAAACTATCCACCTAACAAGTATTATCCGTTCACAATTCGATGTCCACAGGTACAGGTAAAATCACCTTTCAAGGCTAAGGCTATTTGATAGGGAAAGGCTCCAGCTGCCCACCCCACAAACTCGGAGTTTATCGAGCTCGCTCTGAGCGCTCAAAATATGTCAAACCAAACACAATCAAGCGTTGTCGGAGCTTCAAAAATAACGAAAAAGAGACAAAAGTGCAAGCTCTGAGTGCACCGAGCGTGAACACAAACGCGCCCGATTTTGAGGATCTTGTGTAGATTAAAGTTAGTTAATTCAAGACAAGAAAAATAGTTTATTTACCAAAATTATTATTACAGTAATAGACAATAAGAAAATACTCGAAAGCGTGTTTTGGTCGTGTTGACCAACTACTTCGCATAACACAACTATCTGTGCCCAGCAAGAAAAATTAATAAGGTCCGCTGTCTCTGTCCCTTGTTCTTCAAAACTCCCCTGTCTGTGGAACGTGCGCATAAATTATACAGTATCGGGGAACCCGAGTTGCATTTTTATATTGGTGGTTGCAGTTCGGTTACAGTCGGACTACCTGGGTCCTTATTCTTGAAACAGGGGAGCAGCGTTCCCAGGAGAACGAGTATTCTGTCTTTCTCAATGATATGCAAATGACAATATAAGTAACAAAGACAGAACATTCGTTCTCCTAGGAACGCTGCTCCCGTTTCAAGAATAAGGAGAAAGGACTCTGATAACACTTCACGACCCCGTGAAGTTGGACTGAACTAAAAAAAAAGCACAAAACAAAATTAGTTATAATACACTAGAATTAAAGCCAGAGTCGAAACACATTATTCGTCTACTGGGTTATTGACATCGTCACTAATGTCATTTATCAGTAACTGTCGTAACATAAAGTTTCATTCTGTCTGAAGGACAAATGCCCATATAAGCAGTCCTACAGCGTTTCGACCCTTGCAGTTCGTCAACTACATATTTGTCATTGTCAAGTACCTTCGACACAACAAAACGACCTTCATACCTAGGTTCAAGCTTTCTATACTCCTTCCCTCATCGGAGACAACTTGCCTGAACCAACTCTTGTTGGCCAACTACGTATTTCTTGACTGGCGCTTGCTTCTTATCATAATACCCTTTCTGCATCTTTTGCCGTTTTCGAGTAACCTCAACCACCTTTTTAGGCATTGCATCAAGGTCTTGCCGTTCTTCGCATGCGGCCTCTGAAGCAAAAAAAGTGTCAGTTACGCCACGTGGGCAGTAACCAAAGAAAATCTCGTAAGGCGATTTTCTAGTTGTGGAATTAACCTTTGAATTAATTCCCCACCTAACTTTACTTATGGCATCGTCCCATCGGGACTCATCTTTGATAGAAGCCAATTCATCATATTAGTTAGGTTAGAATCGCAAATTGGCGCGGGTTCCTAGTTTAAAAATTAATACATTGATGTCTTATGGGAACTCAATTTTAAAAGCGTCTGTAGACGTGATAGAACGTTTGTTAGGGAAGTGAGTTGTATAAATAGTTTTTTTAATATGTTAATTAACTTAGAGAGTGTTTGAAAGTTGAATAAACATTGTTAAAATAAAAATATTACCAATTTAAGAAGCCGATGTTTGTATAAAATACGTATGTCGTTGCTTGATCCACAAGTATATTATGGGTACCTATAATTATAATAAAATAAAAGTGTACCTACATACTTGGTTAGTAGATGTACTTCAATAATCCAAAAAAATGGAAAAACAAATGACTGAACTAGTGATAAATAAATAAATAAACAATTCACCAACAATCATAACACAACACACAACCTCACTTTCTTATAGCTGGTTTTAGACCCGACGTGCGTCCACCGAAAACAGACACTTTTAATTAAAATCATTTGTATTTTTAATTCATAGGTCTAAGAAAATAATTAGAGCATGAATTATAGATTGTAGATTGTAGATTTCGGGGGAGTCGTTTCGGCTTTTCAGCCGCTCAGCACTGCTACCTTTGCAGATATTTTGTGCGTGACTCTACATCTTAATTTGTCTCCAGGAAGCGTAGACTTCTGCCGAAGGAAGCTATTTTCCTGGGTGTCAGTTGGCCCACTTCTTCTGGTGACAGTGTTGCCCCCTCGAGGAATTTGAGCCTCTTGCAGAATTGGGCTGGACATTCGCAGAGCAGGTGCTCTGCGGTTTCTATTGCGTCTGAGCAGAATCTGCAGAGATCGTCTTCTGCTCTGTCCATTAACCTTAAATGGTATTTTACTGGGCAGTGTCCTGTGAGCAGTCCCACCACCAATCTGATGTCTGGTCTGCTCATGCTTAGGAGCTGTTCAGCTCTTTTTGCTGAAAGGGTAATGAACCTTTTAGACTGTCTGAGTCCCGGTGTGTGCCTCCAATATGATGACAGTTGGTCTTTCTCCCATTTGTTGAGTTCTTCCATGATGTGGCTTTTCATTAAGCCACAGTAGGGCTCTGGTCCATGGTAGGGTGTTGAGGCCCCTTCCTTTGCGAGGCCATCTGCCTCTTCGTTTCCTTCTATGCCTCGATGACCAGGCAGCCACATCAGCGTTACCTGGTTATGTGTCGCTAGTGTTTTTAGGGTCTGTTTACACTCCCAGACTAGTTTTGACGTGCATTTGAAAGCCCTCAAGGCTTTTAAGGCAGCTTGGCTGTCCGATAGTATGAAGATGTGTTTTCTTTTGAGGCTTTGGTTAAGACACTCTTGTGCACATATATCTATGGCAAGCAGTTCGGCTTGAAATATTGTAAGATGTTTACCCAATGCCTTGGAGAGCTTGAAGTTAAGGCCCGAAATGCCCAGTCCAGCTCCTACCATTAGCTTGGATCCATCTGTGTACCACAGAGATGCATTGTCTGCTTGTGGTAGTTCTTTATTCTCCCATGATTGGCGGTCGTTTATTACCACTGCGAAGGGGATCTCTAAGTCCAATCTGACCATCATGTGGTCACTTGGTTTGCTGGCATTCTCCAGTGTTATTAGATCAACGATTTTCAGATGTCCCCTCAGATCGCCAGGCTTGAACTTGTCTATTTGGAATAGCCTGTGAGCGCTGGTTATTGCCTCCTTTTTCACACATAGGTGAAGTGGGGGCATGTTGAGTAGCGTCTCTAGGGCTGCGGTGGGGCAAGTTGACATTGCTCCCGTTATTCCTAGACATATCAGCCTTTGCACCTTTCTTAGCTTAATCTGAGCGGTGACTTGTTGGGTTTTGGGCCACCACACCAATGAGGCGTATGTGACCATAGGCTTTATTATGGTTTGGTAGATCCAGAATACCATCTTTGGCTTTAGCCCCCATGTTTTGCCAACAAGTCTTCCGCATGACCAAATGGCTGATGTAGCTCGAGAGCATGTTTTCTCTAACTGTTTGTTCCAAGTGAGGGTTTGGTCCAGGGTGACCCCTAAGTACTTCACTTCGTTGGAAAATGTTAGTTGTGTACCGTTAAGGGTCGGGGCTTTCAAATTTAGCATCCTTCTTCTTGTGAACGGGACAAGGATTGTTTTGTTTGCGTTTAGGGATAGTCCTTCGCCTTCGCTCCAATTTTTAACGATGTTTAGGGCACTTTGCATTCGGCTTGTCACTATACCTTCATGTTTGCCCTTGATTACGATGGCTAGGTCATCTGCGTAACCTATGACCTGGTATCCAGCACTACTCAGTCTGGTAAGAATTTTGTCTACCACCAGTGTCCATAGTAGCGGAGAAAGAACACCCCCTTAAGGACACCCTCTGACCGTGGTAGCGGTAGCTGATGCTCCGTTTATTTCAGCCGTAACGTGACGGTGCTTCAGCATCGACTCTATCCATTTTACAATTGGAACTTCAACATCCCATTCTTGTAATGCTCTGGCGATTGATTGATGTGAGGTGTTGTCAAAGGCACCCTCTATGTCGATGAAAGCTGTGAGAGCGATCTCTTTGCACTCGATTGTCTTTTCAATGTCTTTAACCAGGCAGTGTAAAGCACTTATCGTGGATTTGCCTGGCTGATAGGCAAATTGCTTCGAGTAGAGCG